ATCATCAAACAACCAAAACCACAGAAAATATATACCTTGCTTTCTTCATCATCATCAAACAACCAAAACCACAGAAAATATATATATATTTTTTACCCTTGGGTTCCGTTGAACCCACGCCTGGGTTTGACGGAACCCAGGGTTGGGTTCCATGGAACCCAGCTGGTTCGCGCCGCTGGGTTCCATATTTTTTTTACCCCTGGGTTCTGTTGAACCCACGCCTAGGTTCGACAGAACCCAGCTGGTTCGCCGCTGGGTTCCAAAGAACCCAGCGACACGAACCAGCTGGGTTCCTTGGAACCCAACACCTGGGTTCTGTCAAACCCGGGGTTGGGTTCCATGGACCTGGGTTCCATGGAACCCAGTGGCGAACCAGCTGGGTTCCAAGCAACCCAACCCAGGCAAGCGTGCTGGGTTCGCAAGGAACCCAGCGCCTAGGTGGGTTCAAAGGAACCCAGGCCTACTGGGTTCCGAGGGGAAAGAGAAGGGAAAGGGGAAGGAGAAAGAGAAAGGGAAAGGGGAAGGAGAAAGAAAAAAGAAAAAAGAAAAAAGAAAAAAGAAATTATTTTTATTTTTCATAATATTTTTTTATATTATTTTTTTTCCACATCATCACTCTTTGGTTATATTATCTTCCACGTGGATTATTATATGACATGTCATCTGGTAACCGTTAAGTAACAGGTCACGTCACACAATTTTTAACGGAAGGACCAAATCGGGGTAAAAATAGTAAACAGTAATGACCAAATCAGGGATTTTTTTAGTTCGGGGACCAGATCGGGGGTCCGTACAATAGTTCAGGGACCAAAAAGGAGTTTTAACCTTTTTTTTTTTTTCAAAGTTCTAAACCATGACAAGAGGGGGAATGAGGGGTTTGAACTTGGTCATACAGTGAGGAAGCGTTTTAATGTTAATAATTTAGTTAGTTACTTTATAAGATTTATTCAGTTATTCTTTAGTTAAATTATAAAAATAAATTAAAATTAAAAAACTTCTATAAGTTGAATCTTAATGTTTAATTTTCTTTTTACATTAACAAACAATCAAACAATACATATTTTTTAAAAATTAGAAGGAATATATATTTCTTATTTTTTTGAACTTTTTGTCATGGGGCGAGTTCGAAACCCGCCCAGGGGAAGATTCGAAACCCACCCAGGGGAAGGGGATATGTACTTTTTCAATGACACTAGCCATTGGGCCACAAGGGCCAAGTGCAGAAGGAATATATATTTCTTATTAATCCTTTAATTTAGTA